AACAAGATAATATGAAGTCGTTCGAACAATGAGTACAGAAAATAAATCTCTTTTTGATACACACACATAGTACTTGACACAAAAATCCATATACCTTAAAGGGACTTGGTAACATTGTTCAGATGAGAGATAGTGGTTCTAAGGTAGTGACTTCAATGCTAGATGTAAAATTAAAGATAATCTGAAAATTTGAGTGAAAACAGACCATTATTCATGGTACAAATTGGGAAAAACTGATCTGATCGATTCCTTAATTCTCCCAACTAGGTGTAGATCTAGATCTATAGAACAATTTAGTTACATTTTAGGTGAATGGAAATCTCACAAAGCAATAAAATGGCTCTACATTCCATTCCAGACATTTAAGTGTTGACAGATTTTTTATAGCCTGTTTTATGTCTTTTTTTCATGGAAAAACGGTTGGGAAAATTTAAAAATGGTTGGGAGAATTTACTGTTAATCACTGTTAGAGGGTGCCTCACATCGACGCCTTCAAAGAAAACCATAGATATCTTCGTGGTTTGAGAATTTTTTCAGGATTTTTTGCCTGTCAGAGGGTTAGTACAGTAGAAGGAATATAGTAAGTAACATTTTATACAACAATTAAGCAATTTTTTTCATCAACCTTCAACAATGTTACCAAGTCACTTTAATACAACGCAATATAAACTATTTGACAAATTTATGCAGACAAAAAAATTAACATTGCTTGCAGCCCATCAATTAATTGTAAATAAAACCTTTTTTTTTACAAAAGAATATGAACTTGCTGGGTGAAAGACATAATGAAAGGGAAAATATAGAATGAAGAAGGACACTTTAGTATATAGTTTTTACGTTTGCGGCACATAGCGTTGTCAACTATACCATACATCTACATTGATAATAAAACTATACAAGTAATACATCCGTATTCTCGGTACCTCGGTATCTTTATGTTCCAACTGATTAATAACGAGTTACCTCTCCCTATTTCCTCCATTTTCCAAAAAAATAACGAGATACATCCATACCCTACAAGACAGTCAAACAACTTCCACACTCCTCGAATGAGAACAGCTTTCGCACAAAAAACAATTATTTACACCGGTCCAGTATTTTGGAATAACATAGATCCATCTTTTAAACAAAGTACCAGTCTAAAAAAGTATACACATTTAAAAAAGTTAAAGATTCAACTTTTAAACACATATACATGATCGAATCTCGGTTTGTTTGACTCTCGACTCAATTTCTTTCTCAATCTCTATCCCCCTCATTCTACTGATCTAATTTCCCTTTTCTAGAGCTTTTGCAATCTTTCATTTTCCCTTTTTTTGTATCTTTCTTTCTTTTTGTCTTCTACTATGTTCCTTCATTTTTTCCATTTTTTTATCCCCCCCCCCCCAATTTAGAATTTCTTAGCTACATATTTGTCTATTTATTGACTTCTAAGCATACTTTGTACATGTTTTATTGTAAAACAGCATCTGAGGAACTAACTCTTCAACAAGCTCTGCTTTAAGTTAGTTCCTCTTTTCTCGTGCTATTTCCATTATATTTATCGTTTCACATATAAATCTCATATTTTCATATTCTAGAATTCCTTAGTATATTTTATTTAGTTGACATTCACACTGTGGTGCTATTTTCATTTCATTTTCACTCATCCTCTCCAAGCGCTATAGTAAGATAGATAACAAAACAGTCCTTTTCAGGACTACACACCCCCAAGAAAGATTACCGAGTCAGAGGCCTTTTCAGGACTCCTCAACCCCCCCTCTCTCTCTCACACATGGTGCACCCGCAAGCCGACTGTATATTTTCATTTTGATTTAAAAAAACGTTATCTTCTGTTTTTTTAATGTATAAATTCGAACTTTTTCATTGTCAGACAAGGTGGAATTGTTTATACATTGCTCTATTTAAAAAAAATTAAAGGTTAATAACTCATCACCTATCATGCCTATGAAATTAAGTTACGTCAATGCAAGACCGGCACTAGAGCATGATAGAATGACAGTCGTTCAATTTGAACGTCAAGCCCTTAACTGCCAAACTAACAGCAAGGGTATGGGGTACATGTTGTCCCCATTATACCATTATCCCTCTCGAGCTGAATATTCATTATGCTATGATCATATTTTTGCCATTTAAGGATGTGATTATTTACCCGTGCAGGATTCCGTCTTTATATGGCCTTGTGTAGGGTGTAATTTTAAAAAAAAACTAGCAAGATAAATCGGAATTTAACCATCATGCGAATGAAACTAACATAGTTTATTCCTTAAATAGAAGAGAATGAAAAATAATAATTTCAGTACATTGAATCACTATGGCATGTGCTTATTTCAAATGTCAGTCTTCGAGATATTATTTACATTAATATGATTATTTGAAATTCTTTACCAACTTCACATTCAGATTAAGATGACAAACGTGAATATCGTAGCAGAAAAAAATATTTTGTGTCCCAATATATGCATTCTACATAAATACCTTTCAATGTTACAGACACCATGTATTGGGCGAGAATATACCCAGTCCATAAATACTAAATCTACAATTTCAAAACTGTTTTCAAGTGGTATTATACAAAATAAATGGACCACTTCATGCTGTAAATACAGATAAATGTTCATATAGAAATACAAATCCAGTAACAAGGACACATATCGAAACGATTATATCACAATCTACAATTCGCCCCCTCCCCCCCCCCCCCTCCACACCCTCTAACTGATAAAATCCGGGCTACGCCGCGCCGCGAGTCGGATATTACAGGAAAAAGAAAACTCAATAATCAAGCCCTATCTCAAAATAAAGAGAGTGAAATTGCAAACAGATGTATCAAAATGGTTTGAAAATTAACGTTTTCTTTAACTTGATGAGCTTTTCATCCTTAAATGATCATGGGTGACTGAGCATTGATCATTAAGAAAAATGCTGAAATCACCTTAGTATACGATGAATGGTGTTTCAGAGTTATCTTCATTACAATGACTCCAATAAAGACTATTCATCCAAATCTTAGGTTGACTATACATTTCATTCAAAACGTTTTCAGGGGAATTCGACATGCATATCATTTTAGTAATCAATTTGTCAATTTAAAAAAAACAGAATAGGCAACAAAGTAAATATCTTTAATAAATATCTACGTACATGTACAGCTGAGTACAAAGATAATTACGTATGGTTATCTGTGAATTTTTTTTTTTAATTTTTTTTTTTACTCACACCGTATTCATCTAAACACATTTCAAACCATTCAAGACAGGTGACAAACATTGATACCTCTGGAATAGTCCGGACACCCGAGGGGATAACCAAAGGTGTCCGATCTGTTTCGAATGAACTCGAGATGGATACATCTCCCGCTCCAGCCCCCCCCCCCCCCCCCTCACTCAGAGTTATTTAAGGTACGCGTATGCTTGTTCCCTCCCTTTGAAAGCATCCCCTATCTCAGGACTGACTGCCAACATTTCTGACCCCCCCCCCCTTTCGCGGACTTTTCCTGCCTTGGAGACACCCTCCCCCCCTTAAATCCGGAACACTGCTCAATGTACCGTATCTATGATATTCAAGATATTTTATAACCTCCTCTTAAATTTCTAAGGAGTCTAAAAAGAGAGAGCAAAAAGACCCCCCTTTTTAATATTTTATAACCTCCTTTTTAAATTTCTCAGGAATCCAAAGAGAGAGAGAGAAAAAAAAAAAAAAAACTTTTCTCCGGGTGAAAATAATCGCCGTCCTCCCACATTTCGTAGATCAAGGATTCAACATTTATTCAACCACACGTTTCTCACGGAATAGAGGTGTGGGAAGCCCTTATAATTCTAAACTAAGAAGTATATTGTATTTACAGAAAATAGCAATTCGTGCTATAAACATCTAGTGAATGGAGACCTCCTCTAGCTCCATTATCTAAAAGATTGCGATTCAAATTACTTTATTTAGCTGTTTAAGGGCTCGACTAACACATGTGCTAATATCTAGCCTCTTTTACCAACCAATAGTTTACTTTCTTGTATATACAAACACATCGTATGAAATGTGTTACTGTATTGCTGTTGGTAAATAAAGTAAAATAAATCTACTGTGTGAGTCAAAACAAAAGTTTACACTCAGAACATTGTCATTTATTATAAAAGTTAGCTATGAACGAAAGGTTATCATACATGTTTTGAAAAAGTGTTATATCCCGAATCGTTTGGTATTATTTTTGTGTAGTATGTGTTCACGCTTTGACGAACAAAAGGCATAGTTTGTGAGAGTGCAAAAATAAACTTGCACAAAAGTGAGAGAATGAATTGAATGTATCAAATGAGATGCATTGCATAAGCTTTTTGCAGAAACAAAATCACACACACACACACACACACGCACATACATACACGCCTATTATGTCCGAGGACCATGGTAAACTACCTTCTTTTGAGGACAGGTGTTATCTAGCTCTAATGGACATAATGGTGAAAAGACTCCCTAAAAAAGAGAATGCTTTAAAGGACGCTCACAACATTGAATGCGTTTTTTTAAGTTTAAACATTTATCATAGACCTATACATCAGAGGACATGATTCTTGTTTTGGTATACGTCTGAGGTGGCTTTCTCTAATGTTAAAATGTCATATTTCAGCATTCGACAGAGGTCAACCACGCACACTTATCAAGATTGCGTGAACTTACGAGGACATTGTATTGAATAGGTAACACAGCTCAAGTTTGCATAAATGTACGAGGACAACATGTGTTGCAAATGAAACACAGTCTTTGTTTGTATAAACTTATGAGGACATATAAACTTTATCTGTTTATTTTGCACAGGTATTTCACACAGATCAAGATTGCGTAAACTTATGAGGACATTGTATTGAATAGGTAACACAGCTCAAGTTTGCATAAATGTACGAGGACAACATGTGTTGCAAATGAAACACAGTCTTTGTTTGTATAAACTTATGAGGACATATAAACTTTATCTGTTTATTTTGCACAGGTATTTCACACGGATCAAGATTGCGTAAACTTACGAGGACATTGTATAGAATAGGTAACACAGCTCAAGTTTACATAAATGTACGAGGACAACATGCGTTACAAATGTAACACAGTCTTTGTTTGTATAAACTTATGAGGACATATCAACACAGATAAAGTTTCTGTAAACTTATGAGGACATCACACAAATCAAGTTTGCAGCAACACACGAGGACTTATTGCACAGGTATTTCACACATACCAAGTTTGCGCAATCTTATGAGGACATTGTATTGAATAGGTAACACAGCTCAAGTTTGCATAAATGTACGAGGACAACATGTGTTGCAAATGAAACACAGTCTTTGTTTGTATAAACTTATGAGGACATATAAACTTTATCTGTTTATTTTGCACAGGTATTTCACACAGATCAAGATTGCGTAAACTTATGAGGACATTGTATTGAATAGGTAACACAGCTCAAGTTTGCATAAATGTACGAGGACAACATGTGTTGGAAATGAAACACAGTCTTTGTTTGTATAAACTTATGAGGACATATAAACTTTATCTGTTTATTTTGCACAGGTATTTATCTCTTTTAGCGATCATGAGGAGTTTATCTCAACAAGGTTCCACTTTACATCATTCAGATACAAGCAAATTTAAACACTTCAAGTACACATGTAGATCATTTTCAAAGATTTGTTTTTAATAAAACTCAACACTGACAACCGGAACTTGACATACATGCAGTTAGTCATTCATAATGCATAAATAACTTTTCTCTTACATGTACAAAATCTCAGAAATCACCTCTTCATTTTTCTTAAATGATAATCTACACAAAGTCTGATCATTGTGATCATTTATCGATCATTAAACACAGAATTTTCAAAATGAATATAATCACTAAGATTGTAAAAAATCCTTAAATTAGCAGCATGTTTCTGCATTTGTTAATGTGATATTGAAAGATTTGGTTGTGGTCGATTGTGCAGACATTCAGTAATAAAAAGAAACGTCAATTTTAAGCATTTTCTGGAGGTAACCCCCCTCCCCCCACACACACACATTTGCTTCGTATGACCATGATTACATGGTATTTTGCCATAAGGTTTTTTTTTTTTTTTTACTTTTTTTTTTAACTTTAACAAAATATTTTCCTTCTCCAGTTTTAGGACATGGACCTGTGACAAATAAACCCTTTTCAAAGGGAGATTTCCTCCTGGAATATCGTGGAAATATGGAATATTTATTTTGATCTCTTACACATAACTTGGGATAGAAATCAAATAGGTCAGGAAAAAATATTAATTTCAAGTAATGCACAGTACAGCTATAAAATGTGGATGGAGTATTCTGCACATGTGCACACTTTCCACCTTTATACACTTTGCTTATAAAAGAAATGCTGACACACACGCATATTCTCTTTGTTATAATACATTGCAGTCCATGCTGTACGATGCAGATTGAATGTCAATCACATCCATATTTCTTATAAAGGAATGTTTATGTTTGTTTTATTTCAGCAATGAATTTATTGTATCGTTTTTTTTCTTCTCAAGTGCAATTTCCGATTGTGTGTAGAAAGTTTGTTCATGGTTTGACAATTCAACAGCAGTTATACAAATTACCATTCTTGCAGCTATAACTTTTATCAAGGTGATCCATATTAATTACAAACCTTTTTGCTTTGTATTATCTGACATTTATATAAATTATTTGAATGTTTGCATAGTATACAATTGAATTATTATCATTTTATTCATTTATTTGTTTTTGCTTGTGATTGAATCAAACCTCATGATTTGCATGGAGTGCAATAAATCATATTTATATACATACATGTGTGTGTGTACACTTTTCTTCATTGAGGTAAGATGGATTCAATAGGATTTTAGTTTGTTTTGTTTAATAATGTTATAAACCCTGTATTTAATCTTAGTCCAGGGTAGTGTTGCAAGTTCAGGATACTTATTTCTACATTCCTCACATTCTTCTTTCCCTGGAATTCGGAATGTCCTGTAATTTCTTTTGAAAATGTGTCTACAGCATGGTGTTGTGCTGCTGTCCAGGTAATGCGTTCCGCTGTAAATGAAAAGAGATTTTATAGGAGAGTGAAAAGAAAGCATGTGCATATTTGATAACCTAAGGACAACTTCATGTGATGCAAAAAGTCATCTAAATCAAGAAATTTTCACAATTCCTTCTAAAGTACATTGTCACATATCAAACATGTACATGCAATTAACCCTAATCCCATTGGGATATTTCGATCACTTCAGTCCATGGGGGGGGGGGGGGTTATTGGGTCCCCCCTTCTGATCTCGGCCGTTGATCGCGCAGTCGCGCCGAAATTCGGCATGCACATAGCTTGTGATGTTAACTCTTAGATTGCGTAGTTACATTATATTCTACTTGCATGCAGATTTTTGCAGTGATCGTGCAACCAGTAGCCAAGATCTGAAGATGGGAGGGGGGGGGGGGGGAGTTAAATCAACCTCTGGCAAAAGAAGACCCCCAAAACCCGGCTAAATTAGGGTTTAAATAGGACTACAAGCAAAGTTTGAACTACATGCTATTATTACCTTTTGACCTTTTTGCAACAGGATGGCTACTTTTTGGCTCCATAGACCCAGGAGGTCCATCCCTCTCATTTGAGAGCTCTGGAGAGAGAGAGAGAGAGAGAGAGAACAACATTATTTTCTGGATTAACTAGATGAATCCTCGACCGCACGCAGTCGGAATTTATGCCTCCGCCATCACGTGATCAGAATTATCTTTCCCATTTATATCACGCAATCAGAAATAAATATTTAACTGAATAAGATTAACACATGACTTCCTTTATACTGCATACTAATAATAGCAAGAACATGAATTGAACATTCATGTTTTCAATGACATATGTGACCGATGGCCTCATAAATCTAAAATCTAATCAGACCCTTGTCCTTCCCATATCCTCGCATGATAAAAGTTATTTGTCAAACAAATTATGAGCTATTGCGAGAAAAGGCCATTTCCGTGTATAAAATGACCTATGTGACCTTTGACCTCATGGCCTATGGATAATTGTACTTCCCATCTGCATAAAGGACCAAGGTTTCAAGTTGATAAGCTAAACCATGGTCTGTTTTCCTGTATTCAATGACCCCTGTGACCTTTTACCTAATAGATCCATAAATCTTATCAGATCATTATCCCTCCTATATGAATACATGACCAATGTTTCAAGTTCATACGTTAAACGTATTATAAGTTTTAGCGAGAACAGACTATTTTCATGTATAAAATGACCGCTGTGACCTTTGACCTTATGACTCCAAAATTTGCTTGCATCAGTGTGCTTTTCATTTGCACACACGACCAAGGTTTCAAGCTGATATGTCAAACTGCTCTTAAGTTATCCCTAGAAAAAGCCATTTTTATGTATTTCATGACTTCTATGACCTTTGACCTTTGACCTCATGACCCTAAAAATTTGCATGGATCATTGGGCTTCCCATCTGCATACATGACCAAGGTTTAAAGTTGATATGTGGAATCGTTCTTGAATTATCACAAGACAAGTGCATTTTCATGTATTCAATGACCTCTGTGACCTTTGACCTTTGACCTCATGACTCCAAAATCTAATCAGATCATTGTCCCTTCCATAAGCATACATGACAAAAGTTTCAAGTTGATACCTTTATTGGTTCTAAAGTTATCGCGAGAACGAAAACGGGACGGACGGACAACCCGAAAACATAATGCCTCCGGCACCACCTTCGGTGGGCGGAGGCATACAAATATACCAAAGTAAAGATGATTATAATACCCCATCCTCCATGTGTGTACTGAATCTCCTGACCATTGCTCAATATGAGGAAGTAATTTGATCTGCAATATTTCTATTTGATTTATTGCCATGTGCTGTAACCATGGCATCATAGTTTCTGGCACATGAAAACAGGGCGTTTTACATTCACAAGACCTATATGTGTGTGAAATATTAAAAGCATCTCTAAAAAACAAGAAGTGCTTTGATCAGCAAAATTTTAAACAGATGGACCAACGGACCAAGTGGCCGACCTATACAACTTTTGTTTTGCGGTGGTGTTAAAATAAAAAAAAAATCACATAATATAAACTAGCAAAAGCAGAACGCACCTAGCAGTCTGGCTTGCATCATGCAATGCATTGCAGCATTCTTTGTGACATGGGAATATCAGATAATTTTTAAATATCCCTTTCAATCTCCCTATAATTTTCATTGAATTTACATAAAAATGGCACACTATGTCTCGTTCTGCTATTCAGAGAGAAAGAAATTGTGTTTTTAATGCAGTATAGGGCTTGATTGAACAGCTTTGTGAGGACATTAATCTGTGAATGTAACATAACTTGTTTCCATAAATGTGTCAGGACAATTGCAGTGCAAAAAAGTTCTTGTTTGGACTAATATTACATGAGACATAAAACTAATATGCATAAATGTCTGAGGACATTACACGGAAATGTAACACGGAACTTGTTTCCATAAAGGAATAAAGACATCGTGCAACAAATTCTGGCACAGAAATATGTAACGACTTTGTATATAAATGTGGACATTCCATTGTCCAATTTATAACTTCTCTTTCATTCTTCTTTTCTGTCTCAATTGTATTATTTTCTTTTTTGCACTCCTTTCAATAGCCAATTAGAAATCGTGTATCCTCTCCCAGAAACTAAGTGGACTATTTGTCCATGTACTTCATTGTAGTATTGCAAATTATGCACATTATCAAGTTTCTAATACATTTTCTCTGCTTTTAACTTTTTTAAAGTTGAAATAGGAGATTCAGGATAGTATGGTCTTTTCCTTTTCCAGACTGGGCTACAATACATGAGAGAAAGACATGAAACATTTCATCATTGCAATCTTTTTTTGTTTACCCCTTTTCTTTCCATTTATTTTCTTGTATTTTTAAAACTTTCCTTTTCTTTTCTTTTCCCTTTTTATATTTCAACTTGTCCCCATTTTAGTTCCTTTTCTTTTCTATTCTGCCCGAATACGCAAGTGCAAATAAGGCATCTACAGGTATCATAAACATTGTAATAATTTGATAGTAACACTTGCTTGCATAAATCTGTTAGATTACACTGCAATGCAACAATGAACTTGTTTCCATAAGTGTTTGAGAACATTACATGTACACTGCATATTTGACATAGAAATTGTTCACATATTCAGGAGAGGACATGCATGTTTTAATACTAAGCAATTTCAACACACTAATTGAGGATCTCTATACTTACCGAAGATGGTATGTTCTTTTCCTTTTCCAGACTGGGCTACAATACATGAGAGAAAGACATGAAACATTTCATCATTGTCATATTTTTTTTTTTTTACCCCTTTTCTTTCCATTTATTTTCTTGTATTTTTAAAACTTTCTTTTTCTTTCCTTTTCCCTTTTTATATTTCACTTTGTCCGCATTTTCGTTTCTTTTCTTTTCTGTTCTGCCCGAATACGAGAAGGCAAATAAGGCATCTACAGGTATCATAAACATTGTAACAATTCGGTAGTAACACTTGTTTGCATAAATCTGTTAGATTACACTGCAATGCAACAATGAACTTGTTTCCATAAGTGTTTGAGAACATTACATGTACACTGATTATTTGACATAGAAATTGTTCACATATTCAAGAGAGGACATGCATGTTTTAATACTAAGCAATTTCAACACACTAATTGAGGATCTCTATACTTACCGAAGATGGTATGTTCTTTTCCTTTTCCAGACTGGGCTACAATACATGAGAGAAAGACATGAAACATTTCATCATTGCCATATTTTTTGTTTACCCCTTTTCTTTCCATTTATTTTCTTGTATTTTTAAAACTTTTTTTTTCTTTTTTTCCCCCTTTTTATATTTCACCTTGTCCCCATTTTTATTCCTTTTCTTTTATGTTCTGGCCGAATACGGAAGTGCAAATAAGGCATCTACAGGTATGGTATTATACATGTATGTATCATAAACATAGTAACGACTCCATAGTAAAGATGATTATTACG